ATGTACAAATTCATCAAACTGTCCACTTAAGGCCTGGGCCCTTTCCTGTGTGCCATTTACATTCTAAGATAATTACTTAGCACAGTGCCTGCTATGTATTAAGAGACCCATAAACGGTAGGTGCTGAGGCCATTGTCATCATTATCAAAGCGCCAGAGGCCGTGACACTGGGGAGGTGATCCATGGAAACTGGATTTGTAAGGACTCCCAGCTCAGTGCCCTGTGGGTCTGGGCAGCTTAGCTGGGCCCTCAGAAACCCCAGTGGCCTCTGGCCCACCTTCTGGCAGGGAGCAGACTTACTTCGCTCACATAAATGGAGAAAATTTCCTGTTGGCCTCAGCCCAGCAGTTGCATTTGGCATTGGTGTGTGTTCTTGGGTCAAGTGCATTTAGCTCTCCTTCCCCGGGGCCCTGCATCATCCCGGACAGCCGTCTTTACTCTGCGATAAGCCCCGCGTCTGCTGCCCAGACTTCTGGGCTCCGGAGACCAGCTCTGGGGAGGTGGGAGAACAGGCTGGGGAAAGGTCTGCCAGGCCCCCAGGCCAGCGAACCTGGCTGGGGTTCACCCTAGCGGAGACTCAAAAAGCATTGATTTTTCACTGACATCTTTGCTCTTCTCACTAGCATATGAAACGTGCAAACTCAGATGCCTCTGACACAGTGATGTGAAGTGGGTGGGGTGTGGGAAAAGAAATGCATCGCTTTCCTTTGAGTCCCTTGTAAGAGGAAAAGTGTGCAGGGTGACTCTGGAGGCCATGTTGGGGAGACGGTAGAGAGTGGTGGGGACTGATTAAATTAACCAAAGAAGGCAGCTGTCACCCAACTCCAGCTGACTGTTGCCACATGGAACAGGGGCTTGGTGTGGCCAGGTCTTCTGATTTTTTATATAAAGCTAGAGATCTGGATTTCTAAAGGAAATATCCTTAATTTTAGATTTTAGCACCTAGCTTGGTTGTGCTTTTGGTTTTTTAGACATGGTGCAGGCTGGCTCTGCATGGGCCTGAGAGAACATGTCTGCAGACCTCTGGTGTTAGGGGTGGCCTCAGACCCACCCGGCTTGCAATCTTCCATCTCCCACTTGGTAGCTTTGGGACCTTGGGCCAGCTCATTTAGTTTTTCTGTTTTTCTCAGTTTTATCTCCCACACACAAAAAAATGTATTGATGATAAAGCAGTTCCTCATTCACATGAGCTGTTCCCAGCGCCTGGTGAAAGCTTACCGGGTGTTGGTATCATGCCCCTCTTTCCCTGGCTGATGTCAGACACCCTCATTTTCACCTGCTTCCCAGCTCACGGGAGGTCTTCAGACCCTAAGCATCACACCACTACTTTCCCCCCAAGTACCTGCGGTGCCAGCAGACCAGACAGAGAGCGCGTGCCATCGCCCACGGTTTCAGCCAGTGGAGAAGTGTCTTCAGAAAGGGGCCTTCTTGCTTGGCTTCCAGACCTTGTGTGTTCCTTCAGCGCCCTGGATTCAGAAGTGCTCCGTGAGTCTCCTCTCTACGCTCCATGTCCCTTCACTCCTATAGGTTGCTAAGGCCAGTCCTCCTCATTCTCAGTCTCCCCTATTCATTTCTTTAGAAATGAGCAGAAAGAAAAGATTGGCATTTTGCCCATTGTGTTCCGACCTTGTTACAAGTTATCTGCTCTTTGATACATGGTGGCCGTGCTCCTGAGTGTGGCTTAGTGGGGGGGATGGGTGCATCTCTAGAAACTTGGCCTTAGGGAAAAAGAGGGCAGGATATTTCCCTGTCCAGGTTAAGAGATGCCAGCGCCTGTGGGAGCCAGGCAGGATAGGGACCCACGTGAAGGGGGTAGGGGTGAGGCAATAGGGAGAGGTGGTGACTGGAGCTGTGTGTCATCCGCAGGGAGCAGCAGCTGCCCAGCGCATCCTGTGGTGCCTAGGGAGATGAGGGCCCAGTGTTGCCAAAGCTGCTGACTTTAAGAGAAGTTGTAAACCCACACTTGATCCCTTGAATATTCTAAAGCCATACTTATTTATTTTATTTTGGAATAGTTTTAGATTTACAAAAAATTTACAAAGATAGTAAGAGTTCCCACGGGCCCTTCATCCTCCTTCTCCATTGCTAACATCTTACGTCACCAGGGGACGTTTATCAAAGCTAAGAAATCATGTGACATGTCGCTGCTCACGGAACCCCACACTTGATGCGCCGGTTCCCCCCGGGGCCGCCTTTCCGTCCCAGGACCCCACTCACACCGCCGCATTGCACCGGGCCATCACACACCTTCGCGCCCTCCGCCTGCCGACAGTTTCACTACTTAATCCTTGCTTTTCGTGACCGGCCGTTTGGCAGAGCACCAGTCAGTCATTTTGTGGAAGGTCCCTCTTTGGGTTTGTCTGATTGTTCTCCTGTGGTCAGACAGGGTTATGGGTTTCTGGGGAGAATCCACAGAGGTGAGGCGCCTTCTCATCAGGCATGTGACACCCACGTGGTGTCACTGGGCCCTTAGCCTTGGTAACATGACCATTTCCCTCTTGCCAGAGCCTGTGCAGCCATTTGTTCCTATCAGGCCTGTGTGTGTTTGTTTTGTGCTTTGGGTTATGATCTGGTATTATGTTATTTATTTTGTTGTTCGAATTGTTCCAGTTTTGGCCATTCGGCTCTCTTGGGTTGGCCCCTGGGATCCTTTGACGCGACCCTGTCCTTTATTCTCTTGAACACCTCCTTACCTCCCGGCACTGTAAGGTGCTGCAGACGCCTCCACGTTCCCTGCCTGGCCCTGGAGTCAGCCTGTGCTCCCAGGAGCTCCACTCCAATTTTAAAGTTGGAAACTAAGTCAAATTAAAAAACTGAAACACTCTGTGGCCAACTGAGGTGCCTGTAAGGGCTGTAGATGATCTTATTTAACCCTCAGAGCATTCTTTTGACAGAAGCACTCGTATGTATCCAGTGTTATAGATGAGGAAACTGAGGCACAGGGAGGTCAGAGCAGAGCCTGAGGTCACGTGCCATCGTTTCAGGTCCCACCTTTGACCTCATGGGGTCAGAGCCCAGGAAGGGAGCCGTGGGCTCGGAGCCGGGTACCCAGGCAGAGGCAGGGCCGTGACCAGAGGGAAACCGGGAGGAAGAGCTTGGCTTTAGACATGCCGGGAACCCAGGGCAAGACGGAAAAATAATCCTGAGAGCTGGTGGATGCAGAATGCCCGCAGAGCCACAGTGAGTCACATGTGAAGGGAGAAAGGAGGAAACACGGGTACGGTTTTCAAAAACATCTTTAAAATTAAGATTTTGTGCCAAGTTATTACCCTTTATTAGTTCTCTGTTGCTGCATAACAAATTATCCCAAACCTCAGGGCCTTCACAGAGTGATCCTCATTGTTTGAGAGTGTCTGTGGGTCAGGAATGTGGGTGCAGCCTGGCTGGGTCGCGTGGCTCAGGGTCTCACAGGCTGCCGTCAAGGTGTGGGCCGGGGCCCAACTCATTCCCAGGCGCAACCGGGGCAGGACCGTGTCCAGCCAAGTCAGCGGCCGTGGGCTCCAGTGCCTCACTGGCTGTGGGCGGGAGACTTCCCGCAGGTCCTGGCCGTGCGGGCCTCTCCTTCATGCCAACTTGCTTCAGCAGAGCTGGTGACTGAGAGGACAGGTGAGCAGGAAGAGGGGATGGCAGGGGGCGCAGGCGTGAGCCAGCCAGCAGGGGAAAGGGGACGTCAGCAAGGTGGAGCCATGGCCTTCAGTAGCAACATCTCACATTTTGGCTGACTCTTCATCAGAAGCAAGTTGCTGGGGCCAGCCCGCAGTCCCGGGCAGGAGGGCACAAGGGTGTGAGCACCAGGAGGTGGCCATCACTAGGGCCCGTGTCAGAAGCTGCCTGCTCACGCCATGCCAGCACATGCTCACAGCATTGTAAGGAAGTGAGGACCACTGTAATTGCTTCACTCTCCAGATAAGCGAAGGAGGGCTCAGAGGGGTGTGGTGACTTGTCCAAGGTCACACAGCTCATGGTGGGTGGGGCTAAATTCAAACTCCAGTCTGAGTCCAGCTGCTGGTGTACCCACTGGTGTTTCTCTGACTGACCCCAGACCCCCACTCCAGCATGGCCTAGGAGCTTACTGAAAACACAGATTTCCAGCTGGCCCCAGACAAATTAAACCAGCTGTGGAAGGGCCTGGGAATCAGCATGTGCCAGGCTTTCCCCCTGGGATTCAGATGCTGCCTAGAATCTGGGAGTGGTATGTATATGCCACCCTGCATGGTGAGGACATGTCAGCGGGGATGTGGGAGGCTCTTTCACACACTTGCTGAAGGGTTAGACTTGGTCCTGTGGCTCTGAAGGAAAACAGAGGCTTATGTGTCCAATTTCAGCAACCAAGGGAAGGATGTGGCTTCATAAAGTTCATAGTCACTTTTGGGGTCCTTCCAAGCAGAAGAAATTGAAAATTAAATGAGAAGGCACATGGGAATTGCTTAGCACAGTGTCTACAGGTAGGAAGGACTTTGATACATGAGCGTTGTGATTTCATTAGCATTATTAATGAATATTACTGATTTTTATTGACTCATTAATAGTAGTTCCAGTGCAATCAGTGAAAACTTACTGCAACTTCAGTTTAAAGAAAGAGATTTTGATTCTTTCCATTTGCTGTAGTTCAATGGTTTAGAAAATGAAGATATTTAGTTTGGGACTGGTCAGGTGTTTGGTGGGGCAGAGAATTTGTGGTTCAGTAAATAATACCTGGGTAGGTCCGGGCCTCCATCTGGGGTTCTGGGTTGTTCCTGGGCCTGTCCTTGTGCAGGATGCCATTCGGTGTCTTGGCTGTCAGTGAGGTCTCGGCAGACCCTGACTGACCCCAGAGGCAGGCAGGGGATAGGGTGGCAGGGGATAGGGTGGCAGGGGACAGGGCTGATGAGCTATTTTGTTCTTTCAGATCAGGAGCGACACTTCACAGATCTTGGAGGAACACATCCCAGTCCTTAAGGCCAAGGTGATGGAAATGCGTGGCATCTACGCCAAGGTGGACCAGCTGGAGGTGTGTCCGGAATAATGAGCTTTCTTTGTGGTAACCGTGCACTCATTCTGACTTTTCTGCCCACTTTTCCAAGGTGCTGGTCCAGCCTTGGTCCCAGCGCAGGGGCTTGGTGGTGAGAGGAGGTATATACTTACATGGTATTTTTTTAAAAATAGGGTAAATAGGAATTTATATGAAGTATCCCACTTATAAATTTGAATACTCTAAGCAGCTTTTGGAAATTCAGGAGCTTTGATAACTGTGGGCCTGCATTTCTTTAAATATTTTAATCTGTTTTTCAAGGTACAAATACACACATGTGTTAAGTATACATACAGTTCAGTGAATTTTTACAGATATAGACTCCCATGTGAAGATGGCCCAAATTGAGAAATAGAACATTTCCAACCCCTGGGCTGTGTTCTTTAGAGCTAGTGACAGCTACTCCTCAAGGGAGGCCTGGCTTCTCCAGTTCACCACAGTCCCCACCATGCCCTATTGCCTAACCACTGACATTGCTTGGGCACAAGGCTAAGCTGCACAGTGTCTTATTTTTCTCCTTGCTGCACTGCAAAATCAGTACCCTCACTGTCTCATCTTCCAGAGGAGGACATACACTCCAAAAGGTAAGCTACTTTCCCAGGGTCTCACAGCTAATTCCTTGAAGCTGGGACTTCAGTTTGTATTCACAGGAGCCAAAGCTCTCAATCGAACTGGGGCCCTCAGCTTGGGACCCTGGCTCCTTGTGTGGTGAAAGCCCGGGAGGCTGGGAAGAGCTTATGCTTCCACAGCGGTCACCCATCTGGACCGAGGGGAAGTGGGCCCTCCAAGCTGCGGAGGAAGGGAGCATGGCAGTCGACCCTGGAGTTAGCAGAGAATTAACATTCTTGTCAGCAGAGAATGAGGCAGGAATATAATTAAAACTTCGCCCTTGGAATAGCTGATTCATTTGAATTTTATTCCACACGTTTGAAAGAGGAAAGAAAATGTGAAGATCTGCAGCTCTGGTTCTTGCCTTACTTGGGGTGGCCCAGCTCTCTAGCCCAATTCTTTCCTCAGCATTCAGTCTGCTAATGTTTACTGAGGGCCTACTATGTGCTACTGTGTGGGGCTGTCATGTAGGGTGTTGAGCAGCATCCCTAGTTTCCACCCATGAGATGCAGTAGGACCCCCCACACCCTGAGTTGGGACGCCCAAACTGTCCCTAAATGTTGTCCAATCATCCCTGTTTGGGTACCTCTGCTCTAGATTCCTACTGTGGGTCCAATTCCTGATGCCCCCTTTTCCTAGCATGTGATCCCTGCCGTTTTGAGCCTCTCCCTGTCAAATGGAACAACCGTAGTGAGGTCCTTGACCCCAAATCTTACCAGTATTTTACTTAACAAACATTTGTTGATCACTCACTGTGGGCCACACTGAGATGGGTGTGTGAGACTCCTGGTCCCCTGCTAGTGGCTCATGGGATGCGGGAATGAAATAGCCAACCAAGGGAGACAGGCTGGCTGTGTGAGCACTTGCAAAGGAATGCCTGACCAGACCTAGAACAGAGACAGCCGCCTGGGGGACTGACCTTTACCCTAAGGCCTGAAAAATGAAAGGGTAAGCCTGGGGAGGGAACAGCTTGTGCAAAGGCCCAGAGGCTGGAAAGAGCAAGGCCTTTCAGGCAGCTGTGAGTGGGTTTAGAGCTCAAGGTCAGGGGTGAGGCTGGAGCAAGGGACACAGACTGGCTGTAGGGCCAAATCATGGAGTCTGGATGCTGCACTGAGAATGACATGACCCATCAAAGGGGTGACAGTTAACTATGCTTGCTCCGCCTAGGAGTCCAAAATACTTCTTTTAGAAGTGCGCCATTCAGAGGTTCCTAGTCTCTTTACAAGGTTGTACAATCATCACCACTATCTAATCCCAGAACGTTTTCATCACTTCCAAAATGTTCCTTAGCCATCGTTCCCCACCTCCCAGCCCTTGGCAACCACTTAGTGACTTTCTGACTGTGTGGATTTGCCAACTCTGGACATTTCTTATTAATGGACTCATGCAGTATGTGGCCTATAATATCTGGCTTATTTCACTTGGCATGTCAGGGTTCATCCATGCTGTAGCGTGTGCCAGAACTTCCTTCCTCTTTATGGCTGGATGATGTGCCCCGTGCGGATAGGTGCACCGCAGTTTGCTGATCCCTCATGGGTTGGTGGACACTGGCATTGTCTCCACTTTCTGGCTATTATGAATAATGCTGCTGTGAACATTCATGTCCCAAGTTTTTATGTAGGCTGTATGTCTTTATTGCTCTTGGGTAAATGCCTTGGAGTGAAATTGCTGGGACGTACAGGAGCTTTTTTAGGAACTGCTAAACTATGTACCAAAGCAACTACCTGGTTTTACACTCCCAACAGCAGTTGAACCAGTTTTAGATGAAGATTGCAAACCCCGGTGCAACAGGACTCAGGACTGTGCTGCATGGGCAGATAGTAGAAAGCCAACCCCTAGACCTCCGCCCCATTACTTCCAACAGCTAGTGCTGAGAAGCAGCTGTCCCCTTCAGTGGGGTATGACTCTCCAGGATGCCACAGTCCCCACTCTGCCCTAGAGTCTCCCCAGCATTGAGGCTGAGTGCCATTTGCCTCATGTCAAACTCCCTGGGCTGTTGCTTTCCTTAGAGAAGTGAGGTATTTCCCTGTAACTGGGTCTCTGTTGGAAGGGGGAAAAGCTAAGCTAGTCCAAGAGGGTCATAGATTTCAAGGCCAATGCAAAAATATGTATTCCCACCATGCAGCATGTAACATGAGAGCAATAAAACTTTAGTCCCGATAAGAATTCTAACATTGTACCAAGGCAGATGGATTCCATAGCCAGACCACTTGGACTTCAGATCTGCCCCTTGGGTAATTCACCCTCTGAGAATGAGTTTCCTTCTCTGTAAGCTGGAGATATGCCATCCATCCCTCACATGAGGGCTTATGCCAGCACCTGGCACATTTAGGTGCTCAGTGAGGACAAGCTATTATCGTGGTGGTTGATGCCCACAGGCTGAGAGAGGCAGAATCCATCTGGGATAATGCTCACCACTCTGCCCCACTGGCTGGGGGACTCTCAGGGTATCTAAAGGGTCAGAGAGTTCCAGGGAGCCCGAGATACCATCCTGCTCTCAGATCAGTGCCACCCTGGTGGGGGATTGGGAACCGCAGGGTGACCTCAGGCCAGAACTTAGTGGCTGCTCAGTTTCAATGAGGAAACCTAACATTTATTGAGCACCTGCTGTGAGCCAGGGACTCTAGGTGCTTTCCTGGTGAGAGCGCACCACTGCACCTAGGAAGATCCCGTTATCAGTCCCATTGTACAGAAAAAACAACAGAGGCACAGAGAGGTGAAGCAATTTGCCCAAGGTAACATAGCTAGGAAGCAGTAGAGCTGAGATTGCAAGTCTGTGCTTCTGACTGTACCTCAGTGCTGAACGTTGGTACTCCTGGAAAGGGCCCCTGCGCAGAGGCCCGGGGCTTTGCCAGAAGTGTTAAAATACATCGGTGCTTACAATATGTTTTAAAACACTGGGGCTTTCCTGTCTTTCCTCCCTCCCTCTCTTCCCTTCTCCTTCCTTCCCTCCCTCCTGACAATAAAAGTAGTCCATTTTCACTTGTAGAGAAAAATATGTGGAAGTCCCCCAGACTCCCCAGACCCGCCAGCAGAGATGTTCCAATAAGCTGACGGCCCCTTTCTGCCCCCAGCCCCCACCTTATGGATGCCGGTGTCTTTCGCCGTCTCGCCATCTCCCGTATCAGGCCACAGGCTGGGGCGGCACAGGTTCAGCCTCTCCTCGGCTGCGGCTTGGCCTGGCCGGGCTGCATGCTCGCTGGCAGGCCTTTCGGAGGCAGTTCAGAGCTTGGGAGCGTGCATTCCTCAGCCGCCTCACACCCCACCACCAGACTGGTGTTCGCACAGGGAGAGTAAAATTGGGATCGGCTGGAGGATGGGACAGCAGGACTTCCTTCTGTGTTTTATAAGCATATGTGCAGGCCAAGCGAGGCCTCCATATGTGAGGGCCAGAGCCCTGGTCGGGAAAAGCTTCCCAGCCCCCTGGCCCCTTGTCCCCCTAACCCCTACACTTGATGTAGCTTATTCAGCGTTTCAGCTCAGCCCCTTCCAGAACCCAGAGCAGCACAATAGTGGTTTTTTTAAGGATGCATTCATTCAGTTGTGTGCATACATTCTTGTACTCATTCATCTGTGTGTGCGCGCATGTGTGTGCATTCATACATCCACCATCCAGCTGAGCCCCTTCTAGACCACCAGGCTTGGTCTTGTGAGCAACAGTGACTCAGCACCTCACCTGCCCTTTCAGAATTTGGAGAACTTTCATTCTAGAGGTGGCTGGCCCGGAATAAGTAGACATGAAGTTCAGTGGGCTGGGAGGCTACGACAGGAGGACTGGGGGCTCTGTCATGACTGCCCTGTGTCACATTAGGTGGCAGGAAAGGCCTCTCTGTGGAGGGGACAGTCAGCCTGGGGCCTGAAAGACAAGCAGCGTTCACCCTGTCAACAACAGAGAAAAAGTGCTCCAGGCACAGAGAGAGTGGAGGGTGAGGCCAGGCAGTTTCAGGCAACCCCAGGGGCCGGAGCAGCTGGTGGTGGACAGACTGGATGGGGAGGTGGGGCAGGGGGCGCTGACAGTGTTCGGCCTTGCAGGCCGTAGGGAGACTGTGGGTTTCACACTAGGGAAGGGAGGCCCTGTAGGGTTCAGTAGCGAGCTGTCCTGCCTGGTGCAAAAAAATCTCTTCAGTTTTGCTAGTGGACCAGGGAGGCCCACAGAGGTGGGGCTTGTCTGAGATGGCACTGGAGTTGTTACCTCTGGTGGCCTCAGCCATGTATACACACAATACACACGCATGAACACACGCACACACACTTTAGTCCATGCACACACAGGTGCTGAGGGTAGAGGAGGGCATGTGAAGACACACACCATGGGTTGCAAATGAGTGGGTTGAATTTTTACTGGACCTGCAGTATTTTTTTTTTTAATGTGAATTTATGGCTAGCATTGACAGAAACTGGAGACTTTTCATAAAATCTGAATGACCTTTTCTTTCTTTTTTTTTTTTAAATTATCTGACATTTGTTGAGCTCTTCCTGTGTGCTAAAGCACTGAACTGCTTAGCAAGGTTGGTACTGTTATTATTCAATATAATAATGATGTCATTATTTTATAGGTAGGACAATTAAGGCTAATAGAAATTAAGTAATTCTCCAAAAGGCACACAGCAAGTTAAGTGTTTAGAACCCAGATTCTAATCCAGAGAGTGTGACCCCAGAGTTCTCTTTTTTTTGTTTTTTGGGTTTTCTTTCTTTTTTTTTTTTTGACCTGGAAGCCTTGCTCTGGAGGCCTGGTGCTGAGTGGCCCCTGCGGGCCTGGACCCAGCATTCAGTTCACCCCAGACCCCACTTAGGCTCCCTTCACTTGTTTGTCACCTCCCTGCCCCTTGGCAGCATCTGAGTTTGTGACTCCCCGATATCCGTTACCTATTAAAGTGAACATTTTGGCAATTTCTGGGAAAAAAAAAAAGAATTGCAGAGCGCTTTGTAATCTGATGGATGTGCACCTGGGTCTTGCCTCTCTGCCACTGCCTGACTGTGTAACTTCGGTCAGCTGACCCCACCTTTCTGAGCCTCAGTTTCCCTCCTCTGTAAAATAGAGGCCAAAATAGGGTCACTCTGGGGAGGTGAGAGGACACGATAGGCACAGGCTCAGCCAGGCCAGGCCACCAGCGGGAGCTGTTACTGCTATTGTCAGGGCTCCTGAAGGTGACCCGGCTTGGCAGGTGCTGCCTGACCTCTCGGGGAGCCTGCTGGCAGCCGTGAGTGAGGGCCTGGCGTCTCCACTGCCAGGGGAGCACAGCCAGGAACACGCGCCAGCCCCTGGCAGATGCGGTGCCCTGAGCTCTTGCCTTTCTCCACCAGGCCTTCGTCAAGATGGTCGGGCATCACGTCTCCTTCCTGGAAGCCCACGTGCTTCAGGCTGAGCGGGACCACGGGGCCTTCTTGCAGGTCCTGCGGAGGTGGCTGGGCCCCACGGGCCTCTCCTCCTTCAAGAACGTGAGTACCTCCCCTGCTCCCACCTCCTCCCAGACCCCGGGGTGGGGAGAGGAGCTCCGGAAACAGAAGGTCAAAGGGCGTGGCTCACTTCTGCAGACAGGAAGTGGTGTCTGGCTGGCTGAGGGAGGGCTGGCCCAGGTGGCTGGAGTGTCGCCGTCCCTCCCTCAGCCCTTCTTGCTCTGAGTGGAGCCGCAGGGCAGTGACCTCTGGCTTCATCCGTCCACCACTTACTGAGTGCCTGCTGTTTGCTGAGCCCTGCGGCCCACTGGGGTCACTGTAGTAAGGAGAAACAACCCCTGCCCTCCTGTCCCTTCCTTGCACACGGGAGGACATGCTCAGGGCGACACCCAGAATTCAGGCCCTGTCCTCCTTTCCAAGGCACGGGTCAGCCTTGAGCTAAGCAGAAGGCTGAAGGTGGTGGAGGGCCGTCCAGCCTGTGTGTGGCCCTTTGCGACTTGCAAAGGCCTCTCCCTCCTACATCTCTGCTTTCCTGGGAGTCTCCTCATGACCCTATAAAGAAGGAAGGGTTGTCATTGCGCCCTTGAAACACTGAAGCGAAGAGTGGTCCTACAATCTAGACCTTCAATTTTTAAGACGTATCAGTCTTTCCAACTTATCCTCTGCTGACCCCCTAGTGCATGGGACACTGGGCGATACTGGGAGACATTTTGGTTGTCCATTGGAGGAGATAAGTGCACCTGGCATCTAGTGGGTTGAAACCAGGTATATTAAATAGTGTACAATGCTCAGGGCAGCCCCAGAGCAGAGAATTATCTTGCTCTCAATGCCAGGCAGGCTGAGTGTGAGAAAGCCCACCCTAGCTCTGTTTGATCCTGACACTAATGGCGTCTGTTAGGTCTGTTCTAAGAGCTGATGCGCCCTTCATATGGCATCTAGTTCTCACACCAGTCTTTGGAGTTGGGTACCTTTATCATCACCCCGTTTTACAGATGAGGAGGCTGAGGCTCCGAGAGGTGAAGGGGCTTGCCCAGAGCCACTCGGCCTGGCGTGGCAAGCCTGGATTGGAGCCCTGGCTGACGGAAAAGGTGTGTGCCCATCCAGCCACCCTACCCTGCCCCCACCGGGGTCTCTCACTCTCCCGCTGGCTCTGCCTGCGGGTCCCTGCCACTGCTTTGTTCCCTCTGTCCCCTCCGCCTGCCCTTGTACCTCCACTTAGTGTATCACCAAGGCTCACTTGCCGAGTGTGTACAGTGTTCCAGGCACTGTGTTAAGCCTTCCGTGTGTGCTGATTCATTTACCTTTCCCAGCCGTCACGGGCACTGGGCATTTTTGCCAACCCCATTGCACAGCTGAGGAAATGGGAGTTTGGAAAGTTTCAGGGGTTGCAGTCCTGCAGCCTGTGGGCAGAATTGGCCCCTGTGAACTCATTCTGTTTGGCCAGGGAATGTTACTTAAACGGTGTGATGTGGGGCACCTGACTGGGCATTCACTCCCGAGTCCCTGCCAGGATCCCACTGCTGCATCTTGTTTTTCACCTGCCTGCCTCCAGGTCAGTGACTTGTCCAAGGCCATGAATAGCTAGACAGTGGCCTCACAGACGTCGTGGTCTAGAAATGTCTATTGGTCCTTCAGAGCCCAAGTTAATGCCACCTCCTCTTAGAAGTCCTCTGGGATTGTTCCCTCTTCAGACACGCAGTCTCTCTGGCTTCCAATGACAGTGAAGTCAGGAGCTGCTTCCTTTGACCTCCTCTCCCTTATATTATGGTGACTGTTCCTGGGTGACTGGGAGACCCTAGTCACCCAGTGTTCTGCCCATTGATGGCTTAGAAGCACCCTGGGGAGAAGATCAGAGGACGTTGGCTGCCCATGGCCTGTATCAATGACCTTAACGGTGGGGCCTGCTGTGCCCTTGGCCTCTGCACTCTACAGTCTTCCGCAGTCCGCACAGTCATCCCCGCGTGATTGGCACCAGGGTCCCCATGTGGAGGTGGAGACCAAGGCTTAAAGAGGCAGAGGCTTAAGTCTGAGGTCAGTGCTGAGGTTGGAACTCAGGCCCGTGGGGCTCTGAAACTGGGGTTCCCTGTCCACTGTCACAGCAGTGTCCCAGTGGGGTGAGGCTGCACATGTCAGGACCTGTGCCTTCTCATCTCTACCAGACTTGGGGCCCCCCCAGGACTGCCTGTGGTGACTTGTTCCAGGAAATGCATCCCAGCCGGGGGTGAGTCATTCAGCAACCCCAGCATCTTGGCCCCAGGAGGACTTTGTCTGGGGCAGGTGGTGCGGGAGAGTGTATGCACATGTGTGTGCAGATCCAAAGGTTTCTGGGGCTGCCCCTGTGCCCCGGGGGGGGGAGCCGGAGGTGCCCTCCTAGAGTAATGGCGGTCATAGCCTGTGCTGGAGCCCAGACTCTGCAGGCACCTCGCATCCCACCCCACGAGGTGCGCCTGGTCATCATCCCTGTTGTGCAGATGGGGAAACGGAGGTGTTAAAGGATTGAATTGCTTGCCCACCCAGAAAGGTGTGGAGCTGGGATTCAGAACTGTGAGGCCTGGGCCCGGAGCTGGTGCTCTGAACAGTGCGGCCCTGCCAGGCTTTCTGTGCCTTATTCCAGCGTGCTGGAACTGCTGTGGGGGTTGGGGGACCCTCAGAGAGCACCCAGATGGGTTTCCCCCATCACCCGAGTGCACACTACCTCAAGTCCGGTCCCTTCAAGCCCACGGTGAACCCTTCCCCCGAGTCCACACCAGGCCCTCCCCACCCCCGCACAGCCCCAGATTCCATCGCCTGCCCCCCACCTGCCCTCCTCAGCCTCCGAGGAACCTGGGGGGTGGAGAAGGCTGGCGTGGGGCAGGGGCTCTGGGGCCTGGACTGGCCCCATGGGAGTGCTGGCCACCACGCCCCTGGAAGCCCATCCCCCACAGGCAGTAGGCTACCTCTCGCTGTCTGCCCTCACGGCCCCCCCAAAGCGAGGGGAGGCGTGGGGGCCCCCCGTCATGGGGGTGTGGAGGGAGGGCTCCCCGCCTTCACACCTGGAGCTGCCCAGGGGCCTTTGGGGTTTGTCTCCTTCTCCCTGCTAGTCCATCAGCTGGAACAGTAGTCCCTGGGGGACAGGGAGCCGGGGAAAGCAGGTCCTTGTCTACTCTGACTCCACCACCCCAGCTTCCACTCTTGCCTCCCTGTCCCTCTTTTCCTCCCTGTGCAGATGTAGTGGGGGGAGGGGCAGCGAGGGGGAGGGGCGGCTCGGGCAGGATGCCCCAGCCCGCCAGGAGTGCAGCTGGGAAGCAGTCCCGCCACCTTCTGCCCCAGCACCAGAGCCTTGGCACCGTCCCTGGTGCTGGCTGTGCCTGGGCTGGCCCAGGACGCTGTCAAGGGGAGGCCTGGGCGAACCAGAGTCTGCCGCCTGCCTCACAAGGAGCTCCCCGCTGAAGCCCGGGCCTTTTACCCCTGACTCAGGCTAGCAGAGGTGCGTGCCGTCAGTCCAGAGATGGGGGCTGGCCTGCCACCCTGGGCCCTCCATGTACAAAAATGGACATGTTTTCAGGCTACAGTTTTAATGCTAATGGACCTATTTTCATGGCACAAAGGTCTGTATTTTCATGCTGTACTTACTACCAATTTTCTATTATACTTTTACATTGACTCTTATAATGTTCTAAGATTTTAAGAATTGTTTTCTCTTTCTCTGTAACTAAACCCCTTCTCTGGCATTTTTTAGCTGTGTGGCTGTGGGCAAGTCGCTTAGCCTCAGTGAGCCTCAGGTAGCTGAACTGTCAGCTGACAGGCATGCTCATGGAGGCTGTGCACGCTGGAAGACTGGTTTGGATTGGACACCAAGTGATGAGGATGACCCCTAAAGCAGTGGGAATAAAAACAGAGAGAAAGACTCCAGAACTCTGAACCTTGGTGGATCTGAAAAGCCAGCTTTGCCTGTAAATAGCCGAGCGGTCCAGGACAGACTGCCTAATTGCTTGGCACTGAGCACATGTCATGGAGATGGTGACACAGAGCCAGTCTTGCCGTGCCAAGCACATTGCCAACACTCCACAAAGGAGTTGCTGGTTTTATCCCCATTTTACAAGTGAACAAACTGAGGTCCAGAGAGGTTAAGTCACTTACCCAATGTTACACAGCTGGGCATCAGGATAGGAGCCCGCATTCTTCACTCTGTCCCATGTTGCCTTGGGAGGGAAGCTAGTGTCCAGTGGGAGAGCACAGACAAGGACCAATGCTAAGAAAATTCAGTGGCGAGTTGTTTCCAAAGAGGGCCCTGGCTTGCTCTGAGGGGGCCAGGGATGGCCTCTGAGGAAGGGCCACATAAGCTGAGACCTGGATAATGAGTGAGAGTGGGTCTGCAGTTGGAAGCCAGGGTGCCCCCAACAGGGGACCTGCAGGCACACAGGCTCCGAGGCGGGACTGAGGGACAGCAGGGCCTCCGCACGGCTGGCTGAGTGAGAAGCGGGGAACGGAGGGAGACGGGTCAGGGCCAGACTGGGCAGGGTCGCAGGCCACAGAGAGGCGTTAGACTCCGTTCTGAGGGCAGTAGGAGCCCTGGGAGGGCTCACAGCAGGAGTGACTTGGCGAATTTGCTTCACTTGGAGAATTGCCAGGGCTGTCCTCTACCCTGAGCTCAGGCTGGCATTCAGAGTTGGTGATGTCCTGTTGGGACTTGAACAGGAGAGCTGAGCAGGCCATGTGGGTACCCTCCAAGCTTCAGGGCTCAGTTGATAGGATGCATTTCCTTAACCTGCAAACACCTTCTACTGTGCCCTGAGCTCACTGGAATCCTTGGCTTGCTGGGTCTCAGGGACCCTGTCCAATTGGAAGAGAGAAAAGAGGCTTCAGGTGGGGGCCCATGTCTCCAGGGATGAGTGCCTGGGTCCCAGGGATCACCCTGCCTGAGGACGGGGCCCAGCAGCCGCACACGGAGGACCCTGCAACCAGAGGTTGTTTCAGGAGTGTGCAAACGTGAAAGCGGGAGATGGTGCCATTTGGGCCGTGGACCTTGAAGGGAGACCACATCAGGTTGCCGTGTCCCCTTGGCCCAAGCCTGGTGCAGCCTGGTAGCCACCATGGGTGTTCTGCTGATTGCACCGGGCCCTCCTCTCCGTGCCTGTGCGCAGAGGCATGGAGCAGCCTCAATAATTGTAAATCACTGTTTATTTTCTGCCTGAGCCAAAACATCTTGTTCACAAGGTGTCATTCTGATTAATTTTCTGATGGATGAGAGCGTGGCGCTTTCCAAGGAAGGCTCTTTGGCAAACAGCAGAACCACTGGGGGCCAGGTCCTGATGCCCACACAGAGCCAGGCTGTGTGGGTAGACTGTGGCCTGGCCTGACTTGGGCCTACCTGACCCACCTGTTTACTCCTCAAATGCCCATGGGGCAACCTGGTAACATGAATGAGTATGTCTGCCAGGTGTGACATAGTAAGGAGTGGTGGGGTCTGTGGCAGATTGCATAGCCCAGGCCTCATCTAAAGGGCTGGAGATTGCCCAGCAGCAGCCTTGTAGAAATGGGGGCCAACTATGACCAGATTCTCCTATTTGGGGGAGGAATCTGGAACATCTAGAGTCTTATACCTTCTGATGTCTGAAAGTCAGCAGCTAATGTTTCTAAATGTTAAGCACTGTGGGAAAAAGCTGTTGCACCTCTGGGTTGCACCCAGCATATCTCAGGCCTGGACTATAGGCTGATGACCTTTACCCGCCAGGCCCCACACCTCTGGAAGGTTTTGGGACCAGGGAATGGTGAAGGCTCAGCACCGGCACCAGCAGGCGCCCTTCAGCTTTTTGCAGCAGCATGACGAATGACCAGCAGCCTCACCGAGTATCTGCTGTTGCTCCAACTATTGGAGCTGTATTGAGCATGTATGTGAAGGCTGTCCATGCCTTGTCTCTACTTCCCGTAATGACACAAGAGGTAGATGTTACTATTCCTTTTCACAAGGAAGGAACCTGAGGCTCAGAAAGGGCTTTTCACTTGCTCAGGGTCACACAGCATAAGCGGCAGAGCCAGGATTTGATCCAGCTTTGACCTTGTTCAGTGTTTCTCCCCTCCCTTTGTGATCTCCCCAAGGGCAGGACCACAGCCTTGACTGCAAAGGTTGCACACTGGAGACCTTTGGGTCCAGTCTGCCTACTGACATGTCCTTTGGCCAGTGTGGTATATGTACATACTAATTTGAATTAATTGCCAGCATCTGAAAGCAAATTTCACATAAGAATCTGCATTTCTGGTTTCTCTTGAGAAAGTTGAGGTCTGGGGCCCTGAGCAGCAGGTCTGCTGAGACACCATCTGGCCCAAGTCACCCATTCCAGGAGTTCCTATTTGTAGTAGTTCCAATTCCAGGTTCCTACCCAGGTGGAGCACATAGTAGGTGTTCAGTAAATATTAATCAGTGTCTGCTCCTCAGGCTCCCAGGGCTCTCCCGGGCAGTCCCCAGGCCATGGGGAGCTGAGATGAGCCTCCTCCGGCCTGCTCTCTCCCCAAGCTTGGGGCCCTCCCCGAGGGCTTTCGGGGAAGGTAACAGAGGCTGGGGGCGGGGCTGCTCTGCCCGGGCTGGCCTGTAGGAGTCGTCGGGGCCAGGCTGGGCGTCTCCTCCGCTCCAGGCCCCAAGCCCCCGCCGGCTCCAGCTCCCTCCCGGCCCAGCCCCAGGAGGGAGGGCAGAGGAGGGAGGAGCGAGGCTCTGCAGCCTGGGCCTCCCCCCCTCCCCGCCCCCTGCCCAGTCCCCCTAGAGGGGTGACTCCCGGAAAGGGCCAAGGCCTGACTGTGGCTTTATCTTGGTGGTGGAGGCAGAGCAAGGCACCAACACAAAGGAGGCAGAGGAGATCTCATGGCGCCTTCTGCCGGCCCTGAACCAGCCTCTCCCTCTGCGCCCATCGTTCCTTGCGGTAAAAGTGCAACATGAGCAGATGGCAAATATTACTGCAACAATGGAGGGCGAGTGGTGCTTGGTCCCCAGCGCCCTCCTTGTCAAACCCTCCACCAGACTGGCCCCCAGGGAGTTACTCTGTACTCACATGTTACTGGGTTTGCTGGACTCCAGTATTTGGTGGCTGGCGGGGGGCACAGGGGGCTATTGGCAGGCTGGTTTGGGAACTAGATTTTTTTTTTTAAAGCATTGCATTCTTGTTGAGATTTTGAGGATTAGTGAAGAGGAAGTTCCTTTCAACAAGGAGGGATTTTTATTTGGGGGGAATGTGTTCGGAGGCCTATTGG